AAAAGTGACACGCTGGCAAGCAAAGAAGCAAAGGCAAGCAGAGATAAATCAGGGAGGAACTGACTGCCCATTGCCAGGCAAATGCTTCTTGTAGCTTCTTTCCCATGGGTTAGTCCAGCTCTGTCTCAGCCAGACAGTAAAAGACATTAATCCAGTTTGATCTGGATTTCTGCTTTGTGGTAACAAAAGTCCTGAGCACACCAATAGATATGGAATTTGAAATAAAGTTAAGTTACAACAGTCATTCAAGGAGCAAGAAGTCCTCTTTTCTTAGTCTTATACTGTCTTAAATATAATATTTAGAATATATTTAAATATATTAAACATATGCAAATGTAGAAAAGCTAAATAGAAGGGAAGAGGAAGGATTGGATGGTAATGCACAGAAGCCATGAAAGGGGATGTAAAGATAATTATGTTTCTAGTTCTAATTCTGTGTGGACTTTTTGTCTAGTGGTGGGTAAGTGCATAAAACATACTCACACATGTGAATGCAGAGCGCCCCAGCGTCTATTTTTGAATGCCAATTATAACTGTATAGATGTTCTCTATGATGTATGACTTTGGGGTTGGATGATTTTGGTGTGTGATTTTCTTTTAGATCTGGAAGAGTTTTTTTTAATGATAAGGTTTATTTTTAGGGGGAGGGGCAAATTGGGGTGCAGCTGCTGCCGGCTACCTGGAGCTACCGAGTTGTCCCATATGGCAGGAGGATCGGGGGTTCAAGATCATCAAGATCATATTTGGTTTATTAATTTAAGGTTTCTATTGTTGTAACAAAATACCATGACCACGGCAACTTACAGAAGAAAGCATTTAATTAGGGTTACAGTTCCAGATGGTTAGAGTTCATGCTTAGCTGTCTCAGACAGTCTCAGCTCTAGGTGTGTGCCTGCTTAGCAACTTCTTTCAACTCTTCTCAGGCTTCAGCGCAGACCTCCAGGCCTCAGCACACCTCTGCCCTCACCCAGCACTGTGAACTCAGTTCTTTCTCCTTAGTTTCCAAACTTGCCACAGAAAGTGAACACCAGGCTTGAGAAACACCTCAGGGACAGGGCACACTCACTTCAGCGCAAGGTTGTTCATTCAGATTCGATCCTTAGCTCTGGGGGAAACAAGGGCAAACTCCGTAGCTGAGTAAATTAAGGGAGTATGGTCAAAGTCCACGTCGTTGCTATTAGTTTGAAGGACATCCAGCTTGCCCTGTGAATTTGCTTTACCAGAACTGCACAACCAATGGAAGGCTCCTAAAATTTAACCAGTTGGTTGGAGCTGTCATTTTGTTAAACTGCTTTTGTATATATGAAACCACTGACTGTTTTTTTAAAGAAAAAAAAATCTATTTTGTGTATTGTTTGTCAGTAGTGTGTGTACATTTTACATGTAAATGCTCAAGGAGGCCAGCAGAGGGAGTTGTGTCTCCTGGAACTGGAGTTGCAGATGATTGTGAGCCTCCGTATGCATGCCTGGAACTGAACCCTCTGCAAGAGCAGCCAGTGCATGTAGCCACTGAGCCACCTCTCGAGCCCCATGTTGCTCATTTTCCCCTGCTCTGCTCTTTATGCTTCCATTGATCACATAGAAATTAAAGGAGAAATGAGCATTCCTTCACAGCAGCACCTGTTACCTGGAATAACGTTGATTATTGTCTTACCACTGATCCAGGCTGTGAGTGTGAGTGCTAAGACTGTCTTACTGAATTCGTTAACACGGGCTTTCACACAGACATTGACACAAGTGATGTTTCCTTTCCAAACTCACAGACTATTTAAACTCCACAGAACCTCCCTTCTTAAAGTGTGTCCAGCAGGTCAGTAGCATCAGCATCTAGGACTGATGCTGGGATCCCAACCCTAGAACTGCTGGTTTCTAAGTCAGGTTTCAGAAGTGTTGCCACAGGGAATACAGGACTCAGAAAGAGTCCTAACCCTAACCCTAACCCTAACCCTAACCCTAACCCTAACCCTAACCCTAACCCTAACCCTAACCCCTTCTGGGGGACATGAGAAGACTCAGCAGAAAACAAAACAGCTTCATGTGGCCCAAAGCCGAATGTCCAGCGAGAGAGTTTCAGAAGCAGTGTGAGGACTCAGATTGGGCGGTACAGATCTGCTACATCAAGGCAAGGTCACACCTGGGTAGTGTGTTACCTTGGCGAGAGAGGGGAAAGGGCGGGTAGCACAAGTGCAGTGGAGAGACGAGGAAGATGTAACCAGGGAAGTGAAGTGGAGGATTTTGGTGTCAGGAGTACAACATGGTAGAGCCAGCCTCTGATGGATGCCCGCGCGGCGGGATGGGGGTGGGGGGTCGGGGGTGGGTGGCGTTGTGTAGGGGGAGAGCATGGGGTAAAAAGAGACGTAAGACTGTGAGCCTGGTAGGCTGGAGCAGGAATTTCAGTGAAACTCAGGGGAGGCAGATGCACCTGATGATAACCCCTTACAAAGGATCCTCAGGGTCCCTTGCCCTGTACAACATTTAGGTCACACGGAAATAGGACTTTCCTCCTCCCATCTTTAAGCTGGAGAGCATGATTAAATTTAAAATCTGATCCGGTTCCAGGATGAGAGAGACACAGACTAGTCCTTTTCGGGCAGACAACCTTCAGGATCTTAACCCTAGACTCCGCGGATGAAGTAAAGGAAACAATAAATTAATAGTGTCGCTTGGGTACTTAAATGAATTGGGTTTGGGCCAGTGCCTGCAGGAAGCTTTTGCAAGAATGCCCTAAATGATTTCCACTCGCAAACGGCTCCGGGAGTGCTTAATAAGTGCAACTGGGCGATCCAAGTAGCAGCAGTTCCTATTCAGTTAAGCGAACGAACGTCCCCAAGGGAACAATAATTAGCAGAACGGCCAACTGCTATCTAAGAGAGGGAGTCGCTTGCTACTGTAAGTCTTCTCCGCCAGCCCGAACCTGCTTACCAAACGCATTCCTCCTGTTCATCCCGAAAACCCCGCCGTTTACAATTCTTTTGGTCCTGAACTCGGCAAGGCAATTTAGGGGAAAGCTTGAAGAAGCCGAGCCCCAGTGGCTAGGACGCCTCAGGGAAGCCACAGGATCAAAGTAGGTCGCCAGGCTCTCCTCCAGGTCGAGCCGGCCTCGGCACCACCACTGCAGGCGGGCGTCCACGGTGGCGGGCTCCCGCCCCTCACGCAGCTGCGACCTGCGGGGGCGCGCGCAGCCTCGTGGGGTTCCCGCGGAGGCGCGCCCGGCGGGGAGCGCGCAGGGCGGAGAGCCGGGAGCGAGCGTCGCAGCTCACCTGCCGCGGGCGCCACCACGGACGTGCCACGCGGGTGGCCCGAGCTATTCGGCAGCACCGAAGGAGCACCCCCTCCGTCTGGGCGTGCCAAGGTGACCCCCGATGACCCCCTGCCCCGCAGGCTGCGCGTCCCCGCTGCTAGGGGAGCGGCGCCAAATGCATGCATATCTTTTTCTGTCTGTCCGGGCACCTCTGTGGTACACACCTACCTCTTGTAGCCCTTGCACTCTGATCCGTGCACATGGGAGAGGCTGGGACCCCACCCCTTTGTTTGAGTCTGGAGGTGTGTTTGGGGGTGTGCACGCGCGTGGGGTATGTTTGGGAAGGGTGGGAGTTTGAGGCCCTTAAAATATTTCACCCTCCTGCAGACTCGTGGCTGCTGGGCGGTGCTCTCTCAGCTGCCCAGATGTCAAACAGTTGTTGGTTTTCGGCATGGGAGACGCAATTAGCCAATGTTGGTTCCCAGCGTTTTGGCGAATGCAGGAGTGTGCATATGCTGCTTCGGGAGTCCTGATCTGTGACAATGACAAACAGCATTTCGGTTGTGGGGTTTCATCCATGCAGACTTTAGCTTTTGTTTCTAATTCCTGAAGCTCGTGGCATTTTGACACTGGTATCTGAGCCCAGGGTTGTCTGTTTGTCTCTGTGTGCTTTGCATGATCTTGGATTGGCACCCTACTGTACCCAAACATTAAAAAGCCTGTCTTTCCGTTGAAGAGGACAGGGGTTAAAATGAACGAAGACCTGAAGGTCAATTTAAGCGGGCTGCCTCGGGACTGTATAGATGCCAGTGCTCCGGAGAACATCTCAGCCGCTGTCCCCTCCCAGGGCTCTGTTGCGGAGTCAGAACCCGAGCTCGTTGTCAACCCCTGGGACATTGTCTTGTGCAGCTCAGGAACCCTCATCTGCTGTGAGAATGCCGTTGTGGTCCTTATCATCTTCCACAGCCCCAGCCTGAGAGCCCCCATGTTCCTGCTGATAGGCAGCCTGGCTCTTGCAGACCTACTGGCTGGGCTGGGACTCATCATCAATTTTGTTTTTGCATACCTGCTTCAGTCAGAAGCCACCAAGCTGGTCACAATCGGACTCATTGTCGCCTCTTTCTCTGCCTCTGTCTGCAGTTTGCTGGCTATCACTGTGGACCGCTACCTCTCGCTGTATTACGCCCTGACGTACCACTCTGAGAGGACCGTCACCTTTACCTATGTCATGCTAGTAATGCTCTGGGGAACGTCTATCTGCCTGGGGCTGCTGCCTGTCATGGGCTGGAACTGCCTGAGGGACGAGTCCACCTGCAGCGTGGTCAGACCTCTCACTAAAAACAACGCTGCCATCCTCTCCATCTCCTTCCTCTTCATGTTTGCCCTGATGCTTCAGCTCTACGTCCAGATTTGTAAGATTGTGATGAGGCACGCCCATCAGATAGCCCTGCAGCACCACTTCCTGGCTACATCGCACTATGTGACTACCCGGAAAGGGGTCTCGACCCTGGCTCTCATCCTGGGGACCTTTGCTGCTTGCTGGATGCCTTTCACCCTCTATTCCTTGATCGCCGATTACACCTACCCCTCCATCTATACCTATGCCACCCTCCTGCCTGCCACCTACAATTCCATCATTAACCCTGTCATATATGCTTTCAGAAACCAAGAGATCCAGAAAGCCCTCTGCCTCATTTGCTGTGGATGCATCCCTTCCACGCTGTCTCAGAGAGCACGGTCTCCCAGCGATGTGTAGCAGCCATCTCCCCATAGGACGCTGCCTCTACCAAGCGCCCCCACTGCCAAGGGCGGCCAGTGATTTCTTCCCCTTAAATTCTTTGCACTGGATCTCACAAATAGAAGCAATGACATCTTGTAGACTGGTATTGACACTGGAAATCATGTTATCAGCGTTTAAAAAAAACTCGACTTCTCGGCTCAGCGTTCTGTTGTTTGGTTTGGGAGTTAGGATTTGTTTGTTTGTTTGTTTGTTTGTTTGGAGGGTATAGTGGGACCTCATGTGGCCATGAAATTATGCACAAGTCTCGGGATTTTTAACCTAGACTTGAAAAATAAATCAGAGTTTTAAAGGAAAATGGAGAAGAAATTACTTTTCTGAACTTTTTTTTTTAAAATCAAGGTAGATCTTCCACTCTGTATGTATCTAACAGGATAGGAGCTTTTTCATACGACCAAAATAGTTTGTATAATTACATTTGGAAGGACTTGTGTTTATTTCCACGAACTCAGTAATAAGTGACCAAAATCAAAGGCACAAATTTCTTTATCTTTCTTTACTCTCAGCAGTAATGACAGCTCATAAGAAACACTTAGCAGTTTCTCTGTGTTACAGTTTGGTACGCATGGTTACCTGTGGTAGTTAGACCACTAATTGCAATATTGCCATGTTAAACTCAGAATTAAAGGAGTCTTTTTTTTTCAATACAGTTTTTGAATATCCTTCCCAAAGTGAGTCATGAAAAAAAAATGTTTCCAATTACATATGAGATAGCACTGATTAGATTTGTCACTGTGATTTTTAAAACTCTAGTCTGGTGGTTTTCAAAAAACAAAAGAGAAAACATTAATAGTATCTATTGGAAGTAGATTATATTTATTTTTAATATATTCTGAGAGAATAAATGGGTGTGACACTATTAAGAAATACACTAACATCACTTTGCACATCTCTGTCTATGAATAAATACATTGTTATTTTTCTTTAAGATGAATAGAATGAAGTATTATAAATTTTTCTGGTTCATGTTGTTGTTAGCTCAAAATGGATGTGAAGGTCTGTGGCATGCCCAGCTAACATGACTGGTGTATACCAGCTGTGTCCTGTGTGCTCACAAGAAGAATGACCACATGTCTGTTAGTTAAAAGCTTAATTTCCTTTCAGCAGAAGACATTCTCAGTGAACAAGGACTCTGATGCTTGCTTCCAGAAAGCAAAGGTTTACCTGGGAAATTGCTACAAGAAGAGACTTAAAACACTATACAAGGCCATTTTGCTGCGTGTCATTTTCTGTGAAAGCAGACAGATGCAGACACAAACACTGTCGCTCTGTGTGCAATGGGCTCATGGCTGTGTCTATACAGGAAGTGAAAGAATTCCTGAATGGCACATCAAGACCAGTATTTCAGGATGCTTGGTGGGGTCATTTGTAATAGGTCCCCTTCAAAGGCTCTCCAAATTGTTATGGCCATGGTGATTTTAAGAGCAGTCTCCAGAGCCTGCATGCCAAACTCATTCCTCCGAAGTTGCTTCTCAAGTGTCTCAAGTAAGAATACATCTTCTACTTGAACTGTATCTCCTCTCTGAGACTATCCATGGCTGCATGAGAGGAGTGAAATAGTGAAGAATAGGGAAAGGATTTTCAGCCATGTGTGATCAAGTCACCCCCAATCCAGCTTTAAAACATTTATTTTGAATATCAGAATGGGCTTGGTAGAAAGAATAGGTTGGATCTTTTATTTATTTAAATGTCTTATTTATGTATTTGTTTTACTTACATATATGTACATATGTGAGCAGGTGCTGTGAGAGGCCTCTAACTATATCTAACTGGCCTGGAGTTACAGCTGGATGCGATCCACCATACAGATGCTGGGAGTAGAACCTGGGTCTTCTGCAACAGCAGTCAGTGCTCTTAACCACTGAGCCATCTCTCCAGCCGCAGTAATTTAGTTTAGAGATGAGCGGGGAAATCTCGTAATGGGTCCTTAAAGCAACAGGTGATGCCCGATGGGAATGAGAACTCTCATTTGCACATCTCTGGTAGTAAATACAGGAGAACAGTCAGTTTGCCTGTCCCACGAGTGTTCTCAACCCTGTGCTTTCTGTTTCACCAGCTTTTTCTTCCTGTCTTTCTTTTTTAATGTAACTGTGAAAACACACATTTGTGGCAAGAAAACCAGAGCTGCAGAGAGAGGCGAAGAAGCAGGCTGAGGCTTCAGACTGTAGGGTGGGGCTAGAACTGAAGGCAGGCTTTCCACTGCTGCTTCCCTGCCCTTTCCCTGCCCCTCCATCATGTTGTCTTTGATCCCTCACTCCGCAGAAAGCTGCCTTTGAACAGGTCACTGTCACATAATATGGGTTCTATAATTCAGAAAAAGGTTCTCATTTGAAATCACATGCGAACCAACAACCAGTGTGAGTAAATGTTTGTGTGCACGGGCGCTGGGTGAAATGGTCTTATGAATTTGGTGGTTGCTTAACATTTTCTTACATTAATTTGCTTGTGTATGAGTGTGTTTATTTGTATGTGTGTGTGCGTGCACGTGCACCATGGTACAGTATGGAGGCCAGAGGACAATCTGTGAGAGTGTCTTCAGTTCTCTCATACATGTAGGTTCTGGGTATTGAACTTGGGTTCTTAGGCTTGATGGCAAGCACTTCTTCCTGCTGAGGCATCTTGCTGGCCCAGCAGTTGCTTTTGTTCCATGTTCTTAAAAAAAAAATCTGATTTTATTTGAAAGGTTTTCTTCAGCTCTTCTTGTTTAAACTGTGAAGAAGTTTTGGACATAAGTCATTTCCTGCAAGGTTTCTTGTCTTTAATAAAGATAACCACTAAGAAATTGGCACCTATTTCAATATAGGTACATGTGTATAAAGATATGTGTGTGTGTTTTAATGTGTTTACATCATGGAAAATTGTCCTTCCAGGACACTCTAGGACAGCAGAAAATATTTTACAATTAATACTTGCCAAGGAATTTATAATCTTTTCAGAAGGAATGGTTGTATTTTTTAGACAATTTAACCAGACTCCTTAATTAGTTCAGATTATTTTTTTACCCAGGTGGTAACTACTTGAATTCTGTCTCATTTTTTTTTACTTCCTTTATTTCAGTCAAGTCTGCTTGGTTTTCCCTCTGTTTTTCTTTCCTTGGCTGAGGTTTAAACCCAGAGCTTTGCCCCTGCTAGGCAAGCACTCTGTCACTGAGCTACATGCCCCTGCTCCATTCAAGTTGTATATGGTAGAGAAGCCCTTCTCCCTGCGTGGTAGAGATGGGGGCCACAGCCCTCCTTACTTAGACACAAAAATTGAAGAGCCAAGTTGGGGAGCAGAAACAGCCATAGATTTCCCCAGGATTCGAAGCAGTATAGAAATATGAAGCATAGGAAAGAAGTTGGGAGGGAGAAATATTTCATACCCGAAAATGTAGAACAGAGCTAAAAGAGGAGTTACTCATCCTTTACTAAAATATTGGTTGCCTTTAATGTCACCATCTCCATATGTATCACTTGAAGGTGGATAGTGAGTCATTTCACGCTGGAAACACCATAGTTTCATATATTGTGAGTTAAATTAGCAGACATATCTGCCTTCTAGGAAATGATGAATGGAGGTAAGGTGTCTGGAATGTTTCTAGAATGTTTCATATTTAAGAGGCATATGAAAACCCAGAGAATCTTGTTAAAATTCCAGATTCTGGATCCCAGACACTGGGCTGTGGCTGAGCACTTCATTAATTCACACTGACTCTGTTCCTGAGAGTCTGTAAGTGAGACTTTAGAGTCTCACAAAGAAAAGTGTCAAATTTTCAATGCTTTCAAAATGTACAGAGAATATGTAAATATCACACAATAAATAAATGTTCCCATGTTTACTCACATGAGGGTTAGTGAATAAACAGAATGTGTGCAAAGGACATGAACCTCAACCCTTTCCTAGAGTTTCCCAATATGTAGCTGTGAAATCTGGGGACCACATGGGTTCCATGTCAGCACCTCATTGTTTATAATCTTAATTGTTATGATCTGAAGGAGTGATTTCTCGAAACTCCACCGTGTGTGTGTGTCTGTGGGTGCTGTGGACATGAATTTATCTTGGGGGTAATTAAGAAGAAAACCTTTTGCTCTCTGGGCTCAGCACTCCAACTGAATTCACCACAAAACAATCTTTCTCGATAGGGACATCAAAGACATTTTCAGCTACCTCACTTCCATTTGACATTTATCTGTAATCTTTTCTTTTGCAACATTAAAAATTCTATTAACCTTAACCCAAAACATTTGATCTATGTGATTCTGTTTGTCCAAAGAGGTGAGAGTTTCACATTTTATTTACACAGACAGAAGTGGGTTAAAGCAAACAGGTAAGGTGAGTGCCAGCACAAAACGGAAATATCTCCTCTGTAGAAAACGTGTGTGTATATGTGTGTGTTTTGTTTTGTTTCTGGTTTTGTTTTAGTTTTGTTGAGACAGCATCTTGCTATGAGTCCAGGCTAGAATCTGATTTTTTTCTAGATTTTAAGTCCAGTATGAAAGTGCAGGCCTGGCATGCCGAAGCCGGAGGCTCACGAGTCTAAAGCTACCCTGGGTTACATAGCAAGAATCTTCTCTCTCTCTCTGAACCGGTAGAGTTGGGCCCTTGAAAATAAGTTTAGAGGAGAAATGAAAATATTTACTTGGGCACAGAGTATTTTGGTATTGGCTCTTTGGATAGATTATTTTGAGTAGAATATTTTAAACATACACATACCCGCCGCCGCCGCCGCCACCACCACCACCACCACCAGCACCATAAAACCTTAAGAAAAATTTCAGTAAAGTTTGGAGTGTCATTTCTTAACCAAACAACATATTTTGAGTCTAGGGAAGTCCTACTTGGGTGGCTTTTCCCACAGAGAGTGGCAGTGACCAGTCTTCTACACATATCAGGAAGTTATTGGGGTAAGTGAAAGACACGGGGAGGTGCGAGGGGGAGAGAGAGAGAGAGAGAGAGAGAGAGAGAGAGAGAGAGAGAGAGAG